ATGTTAGCGGAGAACGAAAAGATTCCAATCAAGGATGATTTACTTCATTCCTAACTTTTTCTTTATTGTGCAAACTGTTATACTTCGTTAGATATTGATGGGTAAAGTTGTGAGCTGAGTTATTATTCAAAAACACTGGTTTGTTATTTTCTTTCTAGAGTTCTCTGGAGTAATCCAGTTCCACTAGCCTGGTATTTCTATCACCAATGGAGGCGCGAATGGGGCAGTTCATGGAAAAATTACATGTGTGAACAATGGTACTTGAACGAGAAATACAGTGATCGTTTTGCAACTACCAACTTCCGTTGTCCGTGTACCCTTACACAAGCAGAACTGGACCGTGGACGGTTTTCACCAGATACTCAGTGTAACGTCATCAACAAGAACTGCGAAGTTTTCCATAACGGAGCTCAGCACTGTGTTCGATCAGGACGGCCCTCGTGGGTTATTTTTCTTCTAGTTCCTTTGTATTAAAATTTGTTTATGAAGCATGGAGAAGTTACAACTCTTCACAATTAGTTAGCAAGTTTGGTTAAAGAGATGACAGAGTATTTTACTGAACTCAGTTTTTCCCTAAAAACACACTTTTAATGTTTTTTAAGCGATTCGTAATACTATTTAAGGAAATGAAAAATAATCTAGAATTTTTTATCTAAAGATTCTTTCTGTTCAAGTAAACATCAGAACAAAATACCCATGCACATACATATTTCAAGCTTAAATACATTATTTTCCAGTCAGAAAGTATTCATTGATTAGGTATTACTTTAAATACTTTGTATACACATGTTATTATTTCATGAAAACTTATGATATGTCCACTTTCTAGGATTGGAGGTTCTGGTCAAATGTGCTGTTATGACGACCAGGAGGAATTGATGCAAACAGCGGATACAATGTACGGCGGTAGACCCTCTCGATCTTTTGTCTATGGAAAACACCCATACAAATGGCGTATGTATGTAAGTACCAAAAATGGAGTCAACATAATATATAACTTGTTAATTTAAACAAAGAAGTGTGTAATGATATCAGACACGAACCTTATATTCAATTACACCACTCCTTCCCACGCTGGCTCAGAGATATGTCTAAGAACTTATAAAGCTGAAAAAAGAAAAATTGGATTTTGATACTGCAGTGAGCAGGTCACAGATAGCCCATTGTGTGTAACTTTGTGCTTAACAGCAAACAAATACTAAAATATTCGTTTTAAGCCAGAACTGTTGTTACACTGATTAAGTAAAGCTGAATCACTTTAAGATGAAATAATTCTAAATGCTGATCATTTGTTTCGTGTGCTTTGAATTTAGCGCAGAACTACTCGATAACTATCTGCGATAGTCGTCGTCCCTAATTTAGCAGTGATAGACTAGAGGGAAGGCAGTTAGTCAACACCATGCACTGCCATCTCTTGTGCTACTTTTTTACCAACGAATAGTGGGGTTGACTGTCACGTTATAACTTTCCCAAAGCTAAAAGGACGAGTTTGTTAGATGAAGGGGGATTCGAACCTACGACCCGCCAGCCTCATTGATAAAATTAGTCCTGTAGCATTTATACATAAAGAAGTATTTGCATTTTTGTTATTAACTCTTGAATTGTTTTCGTGGTTTCTTTTTGTATATTATATAATAGTACTCGTAACCTGCTAGTTTTATTTATTAAAGTTAAAATTGGTTTTAGTCTGTATTTCTTGTGTTATTTGGAGTTTTCGTTGTGGTATTTCGAAATAACGCCTGAAGTAATTCTTACGTTTTAGTTTGCTATTGCAATTATTAAGTGTCTCTTAGTCTTCTTTTTTTAAGCTTTCTCCTGATGATTCAGGGTTTAATGCTATCCTTTTATATACCACTTTTTGTTTGTAAAATCCATGACGTTTTAATTTTCACGTGATATAATATATTCTATAAAGTTCAAAAAAGATTATTTTACTTTTAGTAACAGAAATCTGGGCCCTAAGCCTAACAAATACATATACACAGATGTGTGTGTTGTACTAATATAGATTTATTACCTTATTGAATAATTGATTGAAATGTTTTTGTTACCTGTAGTTTATATTCTAAGAAACACATTTCAACTTTAACGTCCCCCATGGGTCAATGATAAGTCTATGGACTTACAATGCAAAAATCTGGGATTCGATTTCTCGCAATGGACAGATTGCAGATAGTGGTTGAGTTTGACTTAATGATTATCGTACCGAGTTGAGGATCGTAAAGTCCAAAGTTTGATTCTACGAAGCACTCACTCGGCACTCTCAGCAATATTGAGTGATGAGCAATTTTAAATGAAAGAAAGCTATGCCAGAATCTCGGGGTCTCTGACTTGGCTGTTTAACTTTATAAGAAGCTTTCAGGTGGAAAATGCCGAATGCTTTCTCCAAACTGCCAATTTAGTAACCAGAAAACACAAAATCAGGGTATTTTTCCATTATACAAATATCGATATATACATGCAAGGTGAATCGTTAAGAGCATAATTTCATGAACCTAATCGCACAATACACTTCGAAATAACGAAATTAAGTACATAAAGGATCATTTAAGTATTTGTTTACATTTTTGATTTCAAGGAATTCCGATTACTTTAAATTTGGAACCCAGTAATAAAGAGATAATACGATTTAATGTATTCTGAACTTTTCTGTAGATCCCTATACTTTCTAACTGGCTGCACGACGTAATGCCTTTCTTCTACTGTTGTAAGTGGGCTGATAGACAAGAAAATTCTGAAACGTGCGACATGTACAACTACTGGAGAACTTCTCAGGACTGTTCCGCATATCAGCCTCCAGGTGTTGGTGAGTATCACAATATCCAGGTTTAGGTGATGATCATGGTCTCCAGGTATTGGTGAGGATCATGGTCTCCAGGTATTGGTGAGGATCATAGTCTCCAGGTATTGGTGAGTATAACGGTCTCCAGGTGTTGGTGAGTATCATAGCCTCCAGGTGTTGGTGAGTATCACGGTCTCCAGGTGTTGGTGACGATCATGGTCTCCAGGTATTGGTGAGTATAACAGTCCCCAGGTGTTGGTGAGTATCACGGTCTCCAGGTGTTGGTGAGTATCACAACCTCAAGGTTTAGGTGATGATCATGGTCTCCAGGTATTGGTGAGGATCATGGTCTCCAGATGTTGGTGAGTATAACGGTCTCCAGGTGTTGGTGAATATCACGGTCTCCAGGTGTTGGTGAGGATCACGGTCTCCAGGTATTGGTGAGTATCACGGTCTCCAGATGTTGTTGATTATCACGGTCTCCAGGTGTTGGTGAGTATCATAACCTCCAGGTGTTGATGAGTATCGCGGTCTCCAGGTGTTGGTGAGTATTACGGTCTCCAGGTGTTGGTGAATATCGCACTTTCTGCGAAATAATTTTGTACATGGCAATAAAAATACGACTGCCCAGTCTAGATGAAGGTAAATGTTTGTAGTAAACCCAAACTATAGATGCGAATTGTGTTTTGTTATAAAAACAATAATTACTGAAATGTAATGTTGGCGCGTATTTTCTGAAATGTGAAATACATGGTGCAAAAAAAATATTTATTTAGTTAACCCAATAAAATAAAATAAATAAATAATACATATTCATCCTCTAAATTAAAGATCGTACTATACTGCACTATAATAGGTATCTTAACATGAGACTGAAACAGCTTTAAAAATCTTCTAGGTACATCTTATAAATATTAAATCTAATGGGTATGATGTTTTAGTTGTCGTTCATTTGCTTTCGCAAAATTTCTGAAGTTTAATGATAAGAATTACACTAATTGTTATACCTGAACGTTCACTGTATATTTTTATTGAATATACTATTGTATTTTAACGCATTTATTTTAAAATTTTAAATTACTTTTTACCTAAACGTAGAACGACAACTTAAGAAACAGGCAAAGGGCTTATTTCTCAAAAAGCCGCAGATATACTCTGTGGTGGATTATTCAAGATATGCGGATGTTGTGTTTTAGTATATACATTCAAGACTGGATTACACAAGATATACTGGTGTTTTGTTTTAGTACACACTCAAGGCTTGTTTTAAAAATGTATGCAGATGTTGTGTTTTAGTATATACATTCAAGACTGGATTACACAAGATATACTGGTGTTCTGTTTTAGTACACACTCAAGGCTTGTTTTAAAGAATGTATGCAGATGTTGTGTTTTAGTATATACATTCAAGACTGGATTACACAAGATATACTGGCGTTCTGTTTTAGTACACACTCAAGGCTTGTTTTAAAAATGTATGCAGATGTTGTGTTTTAGTATATACATTCAAGACTGGATTACACAAGATATACTGGCGCTCTGTTTTAGTACACACTCAAGGCTTGTTTTTAAAATGTATGCAGATGTTGTGTTTTAATATATACATTCAAGACTGGATTACACAAGATATACTGGCGTTCTGTTTTAGTACACACTCAAGGCTTGTTTTAAAAGTGTATGCAGATGATGTGTTTTAGTATATACATTCAAGACTGGATTACACAAGATATACTGGTGTTCTGTTTTAGTACACACTCAAGGCTTGTTTTAAAAATGTATGCAAATGTTGTGTTTCTATAACACACTGCAAGACAGTATCAATCTTTGTTCAAAAGACTTTTAATTTTTATTTCATATAAATAAATACTAGCTGACGTTTCTATTCAACGTACGGTGAAGACAAAGGACCGAAGGATCCAAGAATTGATTGACATAGTAGGTCAGATCCAAAACTGATTCCTCATGTCACTTCCCGTGGTCCTTAAGGGTATATGTAAGGTTTGATGACAATCGGTCCAGCGATCAGAGAGAGATAACTTGCTACGTGTGTAATATAATGGATACGAATTTTTAGATTCAATATGAAAGATTTTTTTTTATGTGACAGTATATGAAGTATACTTTGGACTGTAAATATGTTTACATGTGATTTTTGTTTTTGTTATAATATTTTATTCTAGCCAGCGTCTATGGTGATCCTCATTTTCTTACGTTTGACCGTGTGAATTACACCTTCAATGGGAAAGGGGAATTCGTGTTAGTCCATGTGGATAACCCTTTACATAAGCTACACATACAAGGAAGATTTGAACAAGTTCCTAGGCCTTCTTTAAATGGTGGGTTTCTTGGAGTAGAAACTATGTACTTTAATGTTGTTGGGATCGAAAAGTGAATTGTTCTTCTGAGTTTGACTGAAGAATTATATACAAAAAACTTAAGAGCTAATATTAGAGCAAAAACTATTAATATTAGTACGTAACTTTCTCTTCAAGTACTGGTTTAGAAAATAGTAGTAGTTTTATACAATATTATTTATATAACTATGTGAGCGAACAAAACATAGAATACAACAATTAATTAATCCTTCTAGCTCGTCGCACTTTTTAGTCTGACGAAAACGTGAAGGACATTTGGTGTCTTTCCAGAACTAATATTAACACCACTGCTCGTTAATTGGTGTAAAAGAAAGCTTGCGCTTAAAACAAGTTATCATTTGCTGAAGTCTGACAGAATTTATTAAAAAAATAGCTCGGGAGAGATCGCAGCGTACTACATTCAAGTTACACTTTACACACACATATATATATAGCTTGTTTGTTTGAAGTTAAGCACAAAGCTACACAATGGGCTACTTGTGCTCTGCCTACCACGGTTATCGAAACTCGATTTTTTTGCGTTGTAAGTCCGCAGACATACCGCCGTGCCACTAGGGGCTGCATAATATACTGGCATTAAATGTTTTAAAATAGTTTATTTTAATTTTGCATCCACTGTTGTTTTATGAGTTATGACTAGCTTGTTCTTGCATATAGTGATAACTAATAGAACTGGCAATTAAGAAAACTGAGTAAAATAAAGACTCAATTTATATGAATACTTTTTAATTCACTGGTGCCTTTAATATCTCAAGTTTCTTTCATTTCTAAAGTACTCTAAGAAAGCCTATTCAGGATTATTTTACAGACTAGGTTCTTGAAAATGAACATACTAGGTGAAATATTTTAAATGTCATGAATGTCTGTCAAAGATAAAAAAATAATTCTTAATAAACCCATATTAAAGTAGGGGCTTTTCCTAATTAAGAAAATATGTTTTTTATAATAACAAATAACAGCAATATTTAAGGAAAATAGTATATCATATATATATATATATAATGGCCGAGGGCGGCTTAGCTGTCAGCATGCCAGACTGTGGACCGAGGTTCCTCAGCCTGCGCTATGTTACCACTAAACAATAAATCGCGCTCCGTACTTTGAAGCCATGGATAAGTTATAGCAGCTATGGCCAAATCCCACTATACGTTATAGCAGCTATGGCCAAATCCCACTATACGTTATAGCAGCTATGGCCAAATCCCACTATACGTTATAGCAGCTATGGCCAAATCCCACTATACGTTATAGCAGCTATGGACAAATCCCACTATACGTTATAACAGCTATGGCCAGATCTCACTATACGTTATAGCAGCTAAGGACAAATCCCACTATACGTTATAACAGCTATGGCCAAATCCCACTATTAGATTAGAGTAGCCAAACAGTTCAAAGGCGTCGGAACCGGGGGTGCTACAGCACCCCCACTTTTACATATTTGACTTATATAGCGCCTGTAAATTATATTACTATATTAATTTTTTGGGGTATGCCCCCGGACTCCCCCTGGATTGAGTTGCTTTTAGCAGCTCCTTATACTTTCGGTCTCTCACTGCAAAATCTGTAGATCTAACCAAGCACCCCCACTTTGCAACTCCTTCCTACACCACTGCAATTAGTGATGGGTGGTGTTAACTATCAACCTTCCCCTTATTCTATCAGTTGAAAGCTAGAAACGACTAACGCAGATAGCTCTTGCGCGGAATTCAGCAAACAAACTAAATAGAGAAAAGTATTATTAAATGTATACTTGTATTGGTTTGTAGTCAGCTTTCATATCTTGTTCTTTTATGCTTTATTTCGGTTATTTTTGGAAGAATGTTTTTCATAATAATGAATTTCATCAATTCTTATTATCTAATTCACCAAATATTTGTAAAGTGCATCATAAGATTTGATATTATTACAGTTTCATTAGTCTGTAAACTCATTGCAATGTACCATATTTAGACAAAATGATCAATGGAACCTATCTTACCGCTATTTCTGCTATGGACAATGTATCTTCAATTGTGGAGTTCCGTATTCGTCCAGATGCCGCTAGGTGGCGGTACCACATGTATATTTTAGTGGACAAAGAGTATGTATTTTTTTGGGATGACTCGATGAGAATCCAAAACTTTAAAGGTATGTTTGGAATTTTTTCATTTTATTATCTTACTTTTCTTTGCCGTAGGCTAGTATTAGAGAAATGACTAGATTTTAATAACATGAATTATCAATGGTCATGCTCCATATTAATCTAAATAACACATAAATTACAAATTGAAAAATTAAGAAATTCTCTTCTCTACTTTTTCGAAACTTAATCCACAGACTGAGATTCACAGGTGCTGCTACATACCCACAGGTTTATCAGAATTGAAACTACAGACTTGGATTAATAGGCCCTGCTACCTACCCACAGGTTTATCAGAATTTAAACTACAAACTTGGATTAATAGGCCCTGCTACATACCCACAGGTTTATCAGAATTTAAACTACAGATTTGGATTAATAGGCCCTGCTACATACCCACAGGTTTATCAGTTTCATAAGTAAATAAATATTGTATATTATGGAGTATTTCTCTTTTAGTGTAGTTTCATAAGTAAATAAGTAATGTATATTATGAAGTATTTCTCTTTTAGTGTAGTTTCATAAGTAAATAAGTAATGTATATTATGAAGTATTTCTCTTTTAGTGTAGTTTCATAAGTAAGTAAGTAATGTATATTATGAAGTATTTCTCTTTTAGTGTAGTTTCATAAGTAAGTAA